CTCTTCCCTGCTGCTTTGCTTCCTAGTAGCAGCGTGTCTGGGTATTCTCCCTCTTTTTAACTCCAGGAAGTAAGACTCTTGTTGGAGACAGAGTCTCCTGTAGTAACCCAGGCTATCTTGGAACTCACTGGGTAGCCCATACCGCCCTTAACTCAAGATCCTTCTCTGCTTCCCAAGTGCTAGTAGGTTTATTGATGTGCATATCTTAATGCTGGCCTTGATACCACCTCCCTAGTCACCAGCTTTATTTGGGTATGGGCATATGTCATATTCTGGCTTATAAGACATGGGGGTGATCCACTGGGATATGTTTGTGGAGGTTTCCCTTGCTCTCAGAAAACATGAGGAATGGGAGTGAGTTTGTGGTTTTTGTTTTGCTTTGGGGTTTGTTTGGTTTTGTTTTGTTTTTTGAGACAGAGTTTTTTTGTTGTTGTTTCGACATCCTGTGTATCAGAGCTTTAAGCCATAGGCCACATCTTAGCAAAAGTAAGTACTGTGTACCTCTGACAAGCAGCAAAAATGACACACCTCGTTGGATCTGGTAGTAATTCCAGCACTTTGGCATGAGAATTGCCACAAGTTTGAGGCCAATTTTGGGAAACAGTGAATCCTAGGGCAACCTGGGTTGTAGTGAAACCCTGTCTCAAAGAGAGAAAGGGGTCAGGAAATTTCAGCAAGATGGCTCAGCGTGGGGGAGATGCTCAGTATGAGAACATACAGACATAAGTTCATGACCAGACTCTCTGAGGAGACAAGACTTTTTTCTTTGTTTTGTCAATAGAGGGGTTCTCTGTATAACCCTGGTTGCCCTGAAGCTCTCTGTAGACCAGACTGGTCTCAAACTCAGAGATCTGCCTGCCTCTGCCTCCCAAGTGCTGCGATTAAAGGCATGCACCACCATTGCCTGGCTGAGAAATGACTCTTGAGAATCAATATAAGAATAGAATGGGCCATATGTGGTGACGCGTGGTGCATGTCTTTCTTCCATGTACTCCAGAGGTCTACTTGGAGAGTTCCAGGCCAACGAGAACTATGTAGTGAGAGCCTTGTAAAAAAAATATAGATAGATAGATAATATTTTAATTTATATGCCTGTGTCTGTGTGTGGGATTTGTATATGTGAGTGCAGGTGCCCAGGGAGGCTGTAAGAGGGTGACTGGGCCTGGATTTTTACTAGAGTTGTGGGTCACATCACATGGGTGTGAGGAACTGAACTCAGATCCTTTGTAAGACCACTATGCACTCTTAACTGCTGAGCCATTTTTCTAGCCCTGGACAGGGTAATTTTATCACAACAAAGTAACTAAGGCAGGTTCTTTTTTTAAAAAAAAAATTAAAAAAACATCATTTCTTTATTGTTTCTTTGGGAATTTCACATCATGCACCCCAATTCTTCTCACTTCCCAATTACTCCATATCTGCCCTTCACCTTACAGCATCCCCTCCCTAAAATCAAAACCTAAAATAAAATTAGAAAAAACGAAACAAAGCAGAAAATGTTTTGCTCCTCTGTTTTTCCTGCCTCTCCAACAGCTTTTCATTCGCCTTAGTGGCAATGGGAGCTGCAGTGAATCATTCTGCAGACCCTTTTGTCTATCAGCTTTACTTGTAAATTACAGTCAGCCATTGGTCTGGTTCAAGGTCTCTGGCTTCTGGCACACCAGTGCCAATGGACCCTCTTCTAAACACCACTCGGATATCCCTCAACTACCCTGAGTCATGGAGATCCTGAGGGTATTGTGCTGCAGGACCAGCTTCTTCACATGCTCTAGTAGATCATAGATGGTGCAGATGTTAGGGTGGCAAACCCAAGGTCCTGGATGAGGACCTGGGTGGTAGTTGAGCTGGTCAGACCTGGCCACCGCGGACCCCCTCAGGCATGGGCAGAGCCAGTTCTCCCACACTAAGGCAAGTTCTTAGCAGAACATAGTTAACTCTATTTTATTATGCAAGATGATTCTGTTGACCCAAGGGTTATTGATCTAGACCTAGTGATGAGTCTGTGCTAAGCCAGTCACCCTCTCAAGTTCAGTGATACCAGAATACTTGGCATATTCCTGAGCAAGTCTAGAGCAGTATATTATGTTGCTATATAATCAAACTCATCATTCTGCTTCTCTGAGAGTTAAGAAAGATCAAACAGCTTGTAAAGAGGTAAGTTGCCTTTGATATCTATTCCAGAACACACACGTTCTTCAGTTTGGGGTTCCTCCTTGATGTCCCCTCATTTACTAATGATATATTTTTCATATCCTTTGATTTCACTACCCACAAAGCAAGTATAGTTTCCTTATTTTCCACTCCTACATCATTCTGATTTCAAGGTGTATTTCATAAAGAAGTTGGAAGCTTTACCAGTGTGTGTGTGTGTGTGTGTGTGTGTGTGTGTGTGTGTGTGTGTGGTAGTAATAGTAGTAGTAGTAGTAGTGTAAATTGTTGTTCTTTCCCTCCTCTGGAATTTCTCTAGGTTCTCTTTTCTCCTTAATGATCCAGTGTTGTGGAATATTTGTACACTGTGTGAAGATGTTTTGCTGTGGTTGGTGTAATTAAAAACTGACCAGCTAATGGCTAGGCAGGACTTCTGGGCAGAGGGAACTCTGAGAAGATGGAGTCGCCTGCCAGAGTTGAAGGCAGAGGATGAGCAGTATGGAGAGATGAGGTCATGGAATGTGGCAGAACAGAGATTAGTATAAATGGGTTAATTTAAGTTCTAAGAGCTAGTGGACAAGTCTAAGGTAAGGCTGAGCTTTCATAATTAATAATAAGTCTCTGTGTCATTATTTGTGAGCTGCCAGGCCAAAGAAAAATCCATCTAAGCTAGGGAGCCTATGTGGACTGACTTAGACCCTCTGCATATGGATGACAATTTTGTAGATTAGTCTGATTATGGGAACCCTAGTAGTGGGGTCAGAACCGTCCCTGGCATATGAGCTGGCTGTTTGGAACCAATTCCCCATGCAGGGATGCCTCGCCCAGCCTTGGTGCAGTGGGAGGAACTTGGTCCTACCTCAGCATGATATGACATGCTTTGTCACCTCCCGTGGGAGGCCTGCCCCTTTCTGAGCAGAGAAAGAGTGGATGGCGGGGAAGGCGGGATAGGCAGGAGGTGGGAGGAGAGAACAGGAAGAGTGGAGGGAGAGGAAACTGGTTGGTGTGTAAAATAAATGAAAAAATTTCATAAAAAAAGAAAAATCCATTTACATCCCAGAGCTACTGTCTCTGATGAAGTTGCAGCATGATTTAAGACAAGGGTAGAAAAGATGAAAGCATCTTTTTTTTTTTTTATAAAAATCTTTTATTTTTATTTATTTGTTTTTTTTTTAAATTACCGCCTCCTCCCCGCTTCCCATTTCCCTCCCCCTCCTCCCAGAAAGCATCTTTGATTTATCTTAAATCAAGCAAAAGAACAAGGCGTTGGAGGCATGACTCCGCTGATAAAAGCACCTAACATTCTTGCAAAAATCCTGAGTTCACTTTCCAGTTGTTGGTAAACCAAGCCCCACACACATATGAAAGTTGTTAGAGCATAATTTACGAGAGTCAAATCTCCCCTTCCACCATGTATCATCCAGGTATGGAACTGGGGTCAGACCTGGCAGCAAGCATCCTTACCAGCCAATCCATCTTACTGGCCCCATGAACTTTCTGAGCTCTTGCTATGCGGCCAGTACTTTCACTATGCCTTTATTGCGTAGGCAAGTCATATAAAAATCTCAAGTGACGCTTTATAGAGTTGAACAAAGCCCATCTATGTCTACTTCCAAAGCACTGCATTAATAACCAGTTCACTTTATCCCATGGATTAATTCACTTGATTAACGGCCACATTAGCTAGCACTAATGTCATACACAGAGCAACTAGGTAAGATGAATGGATGGAGCTACAGTTTCAGGTGTGGGAACGTCATTAAGCTTTGCTGAAGTGACTCTCTGGGGCATCCTTTTAACTCCCATAAACCCATAAACCTAGGTGAGGTTGAAAATGTAGCTTAGTGGCATAACATTTACAGAATGAAGCCTGGATTCAGTGCGATATGGAGACTCGGTGTGTTCAGTTGCTCACATCCATTTCCTAGAAAAATTCCCTTATTCTCCCTTTATAGAATTCCCTTATTCAAGACTTATGTCTCATGGTAAATGATTGGACAGAAAAAAGTATAAAGTTTATGTAAGGACTGAGGCTATGAAATCTTAAATAAGTTGTAAGGGTCTAAGTAGTGTTTTAAGATATGTAAATGCATGTTATAAAGGTCTAAGAAAGTTTCTTAAGCTGTGTAAATGCAATCTGTAAAGGTATAAGCATATATACTGATTTAAGGTATATATGAAAACGAAAAAATGTTTCAGATTGCTTTCCCTCTTTATGGTATCATTATGTTAAAACTTCAAAAGTTGAGAGTTTTAACATTAATCAATGGAGTTCTGATAAGCTGTCAATCTAGTTCTGGAGCTGAAGAGATGGCTCAGAGGTTTAAGAGAACTGACTGCTGTTCTGGAGGTCCTGAGTTCAATTCCCAGCAACCACATGATGGCTCACACCCATTATAATGAGATCTAGTGCCCAGAACACTATATACATAATAAAAAATAAAAAAAAATATTTCACACAACTGAAAACAGCTTAAGGGAACGAGACCATGTATTCCTCAGCACTATTGAGAAGCAGAAAAGGGATAAAGTCCTTCTTACTTTCTCTATTTCTAGGAAAGACCACAAGGAAATGTCTTATTCTAGATGAAGTTCCAAAGATCCATTTAAAAAAAAAAAACTAGCTCTGATAAGCACTGCTACTATTATCATAATCACAAGCTCAAGATTTAAATTTCCTTTGATTGTCTTTAAGTATAGACTCAAAAGTGCTTCTCATTGTGCTAAAATCATCTGTTGCATCTATATACACTCAGTCTTCTGAATAGTGGAAAGAGCGTTCATGTTTTTAACCCAAATCATTTTAGGTCCCCATGTTTCTACTGTGACTTAAAGGCATAACTCTACAGCCATTTACTTATTATTATTTAAAATATTTATTTATTATGTATACAATATTCTTTCTGCGTGTATGCCCAAAGGCCAGAAAAGGGCACCAGACCTCATTACAGATGGTTGTGAGCCACCATGTGGTTGCAGGGAATTGAACTCAGGACCTTTGGAAGAACAGGCAATGCTCTTATCTGCTGAGCCATCTCTCCAACCCTATTTATTAATTTTTTGAGACAGGGTTTCTCTGTGTAACCCTAGCTGTCCTGGAATTCATTCTGTAGACCAGGCTGGCCTCAAATGCAGAAATCTGCCTGCCTCTGCCTCCCAAGTGCTGGGATTAAAGGTGTGCACCACCACCACCACCACCACCAGGATTGAGTCTATAGCCTTTTATACAATGTGGATTTCAGCACAGATTACAAACAGTGGTAATGCTAGCATATCTAAAACTTATCTCTTTTCCTAAGCTTTAAAAAATTATTGTAAGCTTCAGGGAGTCAACTTAAATACACTTCTCAAGGGTCAAATGAACTCTAGATAAATTCAGTCAACCAACAGTCTGTTTCCCCACCTGCCTGTTCCATTTATTCCTGAGGGTGGGATCTACCCTACCCCTTCTGTGGTCTTGGGACCTATAAGGAGCATGGGCCTAAAATTTCAAATGTACACTTAGGAAAAAAATTCCCCAACTTTACCTTCTGTCCCTTTATAGTGTGTGTGTGTGTGTGTGTGTGTATGTGTGTGTGTATGTGTGATGTGCTGCACACAGGCAGGCCTCAAATTCATGCTCTTCCTGCCTTTGCTTTCTTGTGCACCACTATACTCTGCTGAGAGACAACTTGAAAGTTTTTATTTTCCGAACCTACCATTGTGATGCTAGGTGAGATCAGACTATGAATATATATATATATATTCTGTCCAAGTAACCTCAGCTCCAGGTGTTCCCTCAACATCTGCATCCTGGATAGTTCCAGAGTGACTAGCTGCCCGCACTTCCCTAACCCCAGATAGTCTTGCAGAGCCTGGGCACTGAGTGAAACAGCCTAATCTTCCCAGACCTGACCAGCAACCCAGCTTTCATGGGTCCCCAAAGATGTCTATGTCCCCAGACATCAGGAAACAGCCTAAAGAGCATGGTACCCCCATTCCTGCCTCATCACCACCCTTTCCTATGTCCTCACCTTTTATAATAAGTAAGAGGGAAGAATTTTGATAAACCAAGAACCACCCACATTTCAGAACCAGGCGCTCCCCCAGCCCACCTTCAGCAACTCAGCGCCAGCAGCGACATCATTACCAGCAGCCAAATGTGACACATTTCTACTTAGGCCACAAGTTGCAAAGCCTTTATAAAGCCCACACCATCACGGTTCTCTTCTCTCTCCTACTCTCTCTCGTCCTATCACTGGGAGGTAGAGGCAAGAGAATCAATTCAAAGTCATCTTTCCGCCCCCTACATAATGAGTTCAAGTTAGCTTGGGTCTCTACGCCACCATGCTGTGACTAGGTACACAAGGGCAAAATTCTTTAATAATAAAACTTGGTCCCATTCATTAGAAAGATTTAGCTGTTCACTTTATCTGTACTATAAGCCAGTCCACTGAGCAGCTTGTCCTTCACAAAGACCCCCTCCTGTAACTTATGTGATTATTGACCAGCATCCCTCATTTTTCATAAATTTACAAATTAAACTTTTTCCAGTTGAAAAATTAGCTTTTTTCTGTCCACACCCTTCCTTCCTTCCTTCCTTCCTTCCTTCCTTCCTTCCTTCCTTCCTTCCTTCCTTCCTTCCTTCCTTCCTTTTTAGGGTTTTTCTGTATATTCCCTGGCTGTCCTGGAATTCACTCTGTAGACCAGACTGGCCTAGAACTTACAAGATCCACCTGCCTCTGCCTCTTGACTGGTGGGATTAAAGGCATGCGACACCATCGCCCAGTTTTCCACTTTGTTTTTTGGAGACATGGTCTCACTGTCTGGCTCTGGATGGCCTGGAACCACACCTAACAAGTCAAACTCTTAAAAACTTATGTGTTAGTGTATGCAAGTACCAAAGCACATGTGTGGAGGTCAGAGGACAATTTACAGAAGTCAGTTCTCTCCTTCCACTATGTGGCTCCTGAGGACTGAACTCAAGTTGTCAATGTCAAGACTTGGTAGTCAGCCCTTTTCCCCACTGAGCCATCTCAGGTACTTAATACTAGCTGACCTTGTTGCTAGTAGAATCAAAATGAAAACAAGTTGTGCTGTCTAGAGAAGCTGTAAACTGTAGGCAGCAGCAAGAACATGTCCCACCCATCCTCTGAACCCCAATTTTGACAAAGAGAAAAACTTCAAGTCAACTTCTTTTCCAAAGGTTTAATACTCAGGATGGGAACAATGACTAGGGTGGTTGGGCAGCTGTTTCAGGAAGATGGGCATCATGCCACAGTTCCTGTCAATGCAAGATTCTCTGAACAGCTGTGCTGCTGTGGTGGAAACTACAGGCTAATTTCTACTGCACTCATGAGGCTTGTTATTTTCTGAGCTTCATCTACAGTACTCAGAGGTCTGTCTGTCTGTCTGTCTCTCTCACTCAGGGGTCTCACTGTATAGCTCTGGCTGGTGTGGAACTTGCTATATAAACCAAATATTTGCCTGTCTCTGCCTCCCAAGGCTTACAGGCGAGCACCACCATATCTAGCCAGAGGGTCTCTTTTCATCTAGATTTCCAAGCATGAAGACACTAACCAGAACACTCCATGGAGGCGACAGGGTCCCTGAAAGCTAAGTTCTACCTGCAGGGTTCCCCCTCGCCTGTAGGTTTGATGGTTAAGATGGAAAAATTCTTGTTGTCGTTACATTATGTCAGCCATGGAATGCTCTAAAACCAGGCTGTTTCCCAACAGAAACAGGCTCCTTCACGCTTCAGGTGTTTGGGAATCTGTCCTCTCATGGCTTTGCAGATGTTTAAAGAGGCTACAGCTCCAACTGAAACTCATTCCACATTCTTTGCACTGGAAGGGCTTCTCCCCAGTGTGGATTCTCTGGTGTTGACTGAGATGAGACTTCAGACTGAAGCCCTGCCCACATTCACTGCACTGATGGGACTTCCCGCCGGGGCAGCTTTTCGGGTGCTGATTTGTGTGGGGACACTGGCAGGCACTGTCTCTGCATGCATCACATTTCTAGGGCTTCTCGGCAGTGTGAGTTCTGTAGTGCTGAATAAGGTCGGAACTGTAACTAAAGGCTTTCCCGCAGGTATCACACTGGTACGGCTGCTCCTCTATCTCCAGCTTCTTGTCTTCTATCACGGTCAAGTTCCAGCTATAGGCTTCTTCACAGACGCTGTTCTTCTCCCCTTTCTGGCCCACATGGAGCACTTGGTGTTCAAGGAGGCTGACATACTGGAAGAAGATCTCTCCACATTCATGGCACTGGTGGGACTTCTCTCGAGAGTGGAGTCGGAGGTGGCCGGCCAGATGTGAACGCCTCCCAAATCCCTTCCCACACTCATTACACTTGAAGGGCCTCTCCCTGCTGTGCACACTCTGGTGCTGGACGAGATGGGACCTCACTCGGAAGGCCTTCCCACATAAATGACAGGTGTAGGGCTTTTCACCAGTGTGAACCCGGTGATGCTGAGTGAGGTGGACACGCTGATTGTAGCTTTTCCCACATTCCTCACACCGAAATGGCTTCTCCCCAGTATGGATGCGGCGATGCTGAATAAGGTGTGCACTCTGAATGAAGCTTTTCCCACATTCCTCACACTTATGCGGCCGCTCTCCCGGGGAAGACTTTTTGTGGACGGAGCTGAATTCACTGCAATTCATCCTCTTTGAAGGAGGCTGTCCTGGGATCTCTCTCACAATTCCCTGCTGTCTACCTGCCCTATCTTGGTGTTCATAGCCTTCAGGATAACCTTCAACCTGAGAAGCATTACTTTGGATTTCTTCTGATAGTTCCACGTCTCCTTCTGAAAATTCTGGAAGTTTCTTAACATTCAGTTCAGTGTTCTTACTTCTTTTGTCACTACCTAAAAAAGTAAAGGGCAAAAACAACTTTAAACTTTGGTTCTTAAGTCCTTTTACAGGAAAAAAAATGTCAGAAAAAAAATGTAGCATATCAGGAATAACAAAAGGGGACATATGTATCTACCTAATGCCAGCAGCAATGGAAAGAACACTGGTACTGAGCTAATGAAAAGAATAAGATTAAAACAACAACAACAACAACACAGGGCTGGAGAGATGGCTTAGCAATTAAGAGCATTAACTGTTCTTCCAGAGGACCCGAGTTCAATTCCCAGCACTCACATGGCAGCTCACAACTGTCTGTAACTTCAAGATCTGACACCCCCACACAGACATACATGCAGACAAAACACAAATGCACATAAAAGATATAGATAGATAGATAGATAGACAGACAGACAAGAGAGAGGAGAGAGGTAAAGAATTACTAGGTCAGGAATAGTGGCACCTGCTCGTAACCCCAACAGCTGGGGGGCTAAAGCAGGAGAATATAAGGTTTGAGGCTAGCCTATACTACATGAGTTCAAGGCCAGCCTGGGCTATATAGGATGAACTGAGAGAGGGTGTGTGAGGAGCTAGGCATATTGACTCACTCCTATGATCCAGCACTTGGGAGGCTGAGACAAGAGGGTAGCAAATTGGAGACCAGCCCAGGCTACACGGCAATCCTAGTGTTCAGGAGGCTGAAGCAGGAGAATCAGAAGTTCAGTGCTGTATCTGGCTACATAGAGTCCAAGGCTAGCCTGAGCTAAATGAGATACACTCTCAAAAGAGAACAGAAAAATAAATATTTTAAATTTTTTAAAGCTTAAATTAAGAATAACTAAGCTATAACTTTGTCTATTACCACAATTCATCTGTCTTTTTTTTTGGGGGGAGGGGGGAGCTGGTTAGTCTAAACCTAAGTAGACCAGGCTAGTTTTTAAATCATATCCATCCTCCCGCCCCTACTCCTGAGTGCTAGAATGAAGGGTGTATGCCACCCTGCCCGGCCCATCTGTTCTTTCCTACTAAGCTAATAAATCAACGTTTGCTTCTAGCCACTCCCAAAACACATGCTCCCCAGACGTACATCTTTGGGATTTCTCTCTGAAGTGGCGTTTCAGGTGCTCGATCAGGTGCGAGTGGCGGCCGAAGCTCTTCCCGCATTCATTACAGCCATAGGGCCTCTCCCCACTGTGAACGCTGTGGTGCTGCACCAGGTGGGAGCTCACGCGGAAGGCTTTCCCGCACACCTGGCACTTGTAGGGCTTCTCGCCAGTGTGGACTCGCTGGTGCTGAGTGAGGTGCACCCTCTGATTGTAGCTTTTCCCACATTCCCCGCACTTAAATGGTTTCTCTCCTGTGTGGATTCTGCGATGCTGAATGAAGTTTGAGGCTTGGAGGAAAAACTTCCCACAGTCAGCGCATCTGTGACCTCGCTCACGGTTGGATTTCTGCTTACGGCTGCCATCTGGGCCTGAGTTCAGAGCTCTTTTCTGCCTTGACTTCCCCACAGTGGGGTTCACCTGCCACCTCTGCGCCATGTTCTTTAGGTCGCTAACTTCTGCAAGCTCTTGACTCTGAGCGCCGTTGCTCTCTGTGCTTCCTGCTGCCCCCCAGTGTGAGTCAGCGCCACCGGAGATCTGCCGTGCCACAAGCTCTAAGTTGCCCTCCCTGGACTCAGAATCTGAAAAGAAACAGGCAATCAGCTAGTGCCCACACTGCAAAAGGGGGCCGAGTGGCAGAGGAGGAGACTAGGGAAGCAAGTGAGTTAGGAGTGCATGGCTTTGGAAAATGACCACACAGGGAGAGGACAGAGGTCAGCAGAAGGGCGGGGAGGCAGCTCAGCCGGCAGTGCTGGTCAGACAGAAAGCCTTGGGATCTACCTCCAGCTGTGCAATTACCTACTCGTGGAGGAGGTAGAGGCAGGAGGTGGAGTAGAAGTTCAAGGTCATCCTTGGCTACACAGAGCTCGAGGCCAGCCTGAGCTACAAGACCCTGGCTACACAAAGAAAGAAAAGGGAAAGGAGGGAGGAGTGTTAGGATGGCAGGTGTGAGACACCACGTCTTGTTTATGCAGTGCTACGGGATGGCTCCCAGGCCTCTGCACTCTAAGCAAGCACTCTACCAATAGCACTACAGATGAGTCTATATTTATGGACTTATTTTTTTAAAAATTTACTTTCAAATATGATAAGTATTTTTTTTTTAACTTCTGGCCTTCTATGATGCTATCAGCAATCTGCGGGTATGAAATGATAGAATGTGGCCTTCTAAAGGAGAGAAGGTAAGAGGCAGGGACCCTGATCATGGTCTCGGGGCAGGGGATATAGTGAAGCTGTTAAGCTGCTGGAATAACAATGGGGTAGCCAGGCCTGGTGGCACAGGCCTGGAATCCCTGCTACTTGAGGCCAAAACAGAAGGATCAAAAGTCTAGATCAGACAGGACAACTAACTTCCCAAGACCCTTTCTCAACACCGAAAGTATAAAAGGGGGTTGGGTGTGGTGATGCATGCCTTTAATCCCAGCACTTCGGAGGCAGAGGCAGGCAGATCTCTGAGAGTTTGAGGCTAGCCTAGTCTACAAATCAATTTTTAGGCTAGCTAGGGATGCATAGAGTCTGTGTCTCAAAAGAAAAACAAAGGCGGGGAGGAGGCTGGGGACGGACGTATCTCCGTACATGAGCCCATGCGGATTAGTAGAATGTTAGAGGTCCTGGGTTCAACCTGCAGAATCACACACACACACACACAAAGAGAGACAAAAAAAAATCAGAACTCAAGAATGACACAGTAAGGGGCTGAAGAGATGGCTCGGCAGTTAAGAGCACTGACTGCTCTTCCAGAGGACCTGGGTTCAATTCTCAGCACACACATGGCAGCTAACAATTGTCTGTAACTCCAAGATCTGACACCCTTACACAGACATATATGCAAGCAAAACACCAATGCACATAAAAGAAAAATAAATGACATAGTAAACAAGTGTGGCTGGATTTGAACTTACAATTCTGCATAAAAACTGAATGGGTACCCAATGCACTCACATACTACATATACAACACACACACCTCTGATAACTAGTAAGTATCTCTGTGTTAACAGAAATACATAACAATAACAGACTTAAATTACGCAAGTGAGCTGTGTTAATTTAAAAGAGAATGAAGAAAATATTTTAATCAAATATAACACTTATTTTTTTCTATTTATGGGTCTCTATTTATGACATGTGTGCTGGTAGCCTTGGCATCTAGAAGACTACGCCAGATCCCCTGAGACAGGAGCTGCTTGACATGGGTGCCGGGAGCCCAACTCAACTGCAAGTACTCTTAGACACTAAGCCATCTTCCCAGTCCAGAAAACAATGGATTTAATATATAACTAAATCACTGAGCTAAAAGGCTACCTCTTTGGGGGCTGGAGAGACGGCTCAGTGGTTAAGAGCACTGACTGCTCTTCCAGCAGATCTGGGATCAATTCCCAGTACCAACATGGCAGCTAACAACTGTCTATAACTCCAAGATCTGACACCCTCACAAAGACATACATGCAGGCGAAACACCAACACACATAAAATAAAAAATAAATTAAAAGACTACTTCTAAGATCCAAACAAATTGATCAAAATACAGGTGCTGGAGAGACGGCTCAGTGGGACCATCCTGATGACATTAGGATTCCTGGAACCCTTATGGCGAAAGAAGAGAACTGACTCCTACGAATTGTCCTCTGACCTTCATACGTGTGCTGCGACACACACACTACCCTGGTTCCTTGTTAAGGGCTAGGCCAGTCCAGGACATTCCCTGAGGCTATGACGTATGAAAAAGGATGAGTTCCTTGTCTAAACCCAGGAACTTGCTCGTCAAAGCCCGTAAAGGCCTGAGGTCAGGCCTTGTGGGGAGCTGACATTTTCTGGATCCTGAGAATTCAACTTTTCCCCCCTTGAAGGGCTGTGGTTATCAGTCCCAAGGCTGGTGAGCAGTATGTCTGTAATGCAGCTGAGACATCCTCTGTTCCCGTTGGGCAACACTGCTTGATTAGCTTCCTGCTGACTCTGTCCCACTGTGTGACAGGTTGTGCTGACTTTGTCCCATTTTTCCTCCTGCAAGCTGTACATAAGATGTTGTTTTTCTTAATAAATTTGCATGAGCCATCAATTTGTACCGAAACTCCTGATCCCAGATTTTCTTGTCTTCTTTAATCTTCTCATCACCTGGTCTGGTCCTTCCCCTCAGGACCCTGTCACTGAAAAATGTCCAGATCAACCACCAACAAATAAGTAAATGCAAAAAGGGGCTGGAGGGTGGAACAGGCCTTCAATCCCAGAACTTGGGAGGTAGAGGTAGGCAGATCTCTGTGAGTTCAAGGCCAGCCTGGTCTACGGTGCATTCTAGGAGAGCCAGAACTGTCCCACAGAGAAACCCTGTCTTGAAAAACAAACAAACAAAAAGGGGAGGGTAGATAGATTGGTGATGAGAACGGGAATGGAAAATGAGTAAAAAGGCAGCGAAGAACTAATGCCACTGAGATACAGTAATCACCACCCTACTAAGAAATAGTGAAATCTCATATGGTCTCAGGGTTAATCATCATCAATGGACTGGATTTAGCATCACCTAGGAAACAAGTATCTGGACTTGGAAAGGTACTTCCAGAAGGAAGACCCACCGTGAACAAGAATAGCACCGTTCCAGGGGCTTTGGACTATATAGAAAACAGAAAGCGCCTGGCAGTGGTGGTTGCACGCCTATAATCCCAGCACTGGGAAGGCAGAGGCAGGCGGATCTCTGTGAGTTCGAGGCCAGCCTGGTCTACAAGAGCTAGTTCCAGGACAGGCAGCAAAAGCTACAGAGAAACCCTGTCTCAAAAATCAAAAAAAGAAAAAGAAAAAAAAAAAGAAAACAAAACAAAACAGAAAGCATCTGTGCCAGGCCTTCCTCGCCATGATGGCTGTCCCCTCAAAGTGTGAACCCAAATAATAATTTCTTCCCTAATGTTACTTGTCAGGGATCCTGTTCCAGAAACGAGAAAAGTAATGAACCCAGGAATTTTTGTAGCTGAGGACTATTTGGCTAAGAATTACCTAACTTGGGCTGGACAGGAGAAGTGGCTTGGTAAATGAAGAGCATGTACTGCTCTTACAAAGGACTGGAGTCTCCAACCCCCATGATGGGTGCCTCACTTACTGTAACTCAGGCCCCAGGAGGATCTGACACCCTCTCTGACCTCCTCTGGCACAAGGCCATAGTTCATATACATACATGTAGGCACTCACACATAAAATAAAAATAATTAAAAAACAAAACAAATCATTGTGTCAAAATTTGGCATCCCTGGGTGTGGTGGCAAACACCTTTAATTCCAACACTTAGGAGGCAGAGAGAAGCCAAGCCAGTCCCTGTCAGTTTGAGGCCAGCCTGATATATACAGTGAGTTCCAGGCCAGTCACAGCTACTGAGGGAGACCCTATTTGGAAAAAACAAACAAACAAAAAACCCTCAAAAACAACCAACCCTGGGGGCTGGAGAGATGGCTCAGTGGTTAAGAGCACTGCTTGCTCTTCCAAAAGTCCTGAGTTCAATTCCCGGCAACCACATGGTGGCTCACAACCATCTGTAGGGAGGTCTGGTGCCCTCTTCTGGCCTGCAGACATGCACACAGACAGAATATTGCATACATAATAAATAAAAAAAAAAAAAAAAAAAAAAAAAAAAAAAAACAACCCCTACCCCCCCAAATTTAGTAACTTCTAGATTGTAAAAATGTTCTCTGGATAACTGGGTCTGTTAACTCTAGCACCTGGAAGGTTGAAGCAGGAGTACCAGGAATTCAAGGCCATCTGGTCTATACATATTGAGACTGTCTCAAAAAAAACAAAACAAAACAAAACAAAAACAAAACAAAAAACCCAAAAACACGCTGGAGAGAGATAGTAGCTAAGAGTACACCCTCTTGTGGCCTCCAGAGGCACCAGGCATGCATGTGGTGCACACAGATACACGTAGGCAAAACACTCCACACATAAAATAATCTGAAAACACAAACAAGGGCTGGTCACATGGCTCATCAGGAAACGTCGCTTGCTGTGCAGGCCTGGCAGCCTGCTAGATCCCTGTAACCAATATAAAGGTGGATAAACAGAACTGGTCCCACAAAGTTGTCCTGTGCACACTTTAATTCCAGCTTTTGGGAGGCAGAGGCAGGTGGAGCTCTGTCTGTTTGAGGATAGCCTGGTCTACATAGCAAGTCCAGGTCAACCAGGACTACAGAGTAAGATCCTGTCTCAGAAGAAAAAAAGGTGTCCTTTGACCTCCATACTATGGCAAACAAACACATCATACATATACACAATAAACAAGGTAAAAACAGTAAGAATTTTAAAAAACTAACCTCATCCTTTGTAAGCTAGAAACAATCTTCAGGAAAGGCTGGTTGATTTCCTTTCATAGATTATAAAGTAAAGGGGACTGGAGTGATGGGTCAGTAGTTAGGAGCACTGGCTGCTTTGGCACAGGACCCAGGTGTGATTCCCAGCACCTACAGGGTGGCTCACAGCCATCTCCAACTCCAGAGGATTCAACACCCTCCTCTGGCCTCTGTGGGCACCAGGCATGCACATGGTACACATACATGAAGACAAAACATTCATACATATAAAACAAAATAAAAAACTTTGAAAGATTATAAAGTAAAGCCATAGCGGTTGAAACATGCTACACAAACTCTTTATAAGGTAACAAAACCGGGGAGTCCTCCTCATGCAGGTGGACAATTCTTACCCACAGGAGTGATACGCTCACAATTCTCCTTTCTGTCATCCCTACTAAGAGACTTCTGGGACTGGTCCAAATGTCCCCATTCCTCCAGGATGAAGGACACAGCCACATCAGCCACATCTTCGATTTTCACCAACTTCTGAAATGGGAGATCTCCGCTAAATTCCCACTCCCTGTGTGCGAACCTGGGGCCCCAAGTCAGAAGCCAGGGGAGAGACTGTGCATCCAAAAGGGAAACATTAATTTAAGCAGAAAGGAAAAAGAAGGCAATGAACGGAAACCATCAACTGGGGATGGGCCTGGAAGCTAGTGAGGTACCTGGTAAAGATGGTGTCACACCTAGAATCTCCGTGAGTATCCATGAGGGAATGTCTAGAACAAGCTGGCCTATGGAAAGACCTCTGAATCGTTTCTTAATTAAGGAAACTGCTGTGGGAAGACCCAGCCTTCTGTGGGTGGCACCATGCCCTGGGTTTGGTTCCTGGGTTGTGTAAGAGTAGAGAGGGCTAGCTGAGTGGGCATGCCTTTCTTTTTTCTGCTCTGGACTGTGGATATGTTTAGAGCAGCTGTCTCAGGTTCCTGCCACGCTAACCTCCTCGCTATGGTTCACTGTAACCTGGAGAGGGAGCTAAAATAACCCCTCTCTTTTATAAGCTGTGTCTATCAGGGTATTCTGTCCCAGGAAGCAGAAACAAAACTAGGACTGGTGGGGATGGAGGCTGGGGAGGGGCATGGGTTCTCATGGAGGACAGAGGAGGGCTAGCTCACCTGGGACCTGGCTGAGAGAAGAGAGGCTGTCAGCTCCTGGCTGTCCTTCGGGGGAACAGAAGGAACCTGGAGAACAGGATGGGCTGAGAGTGGAGAAAAGGTATAAATAAGACTATTTGGAGGTTCTCGGTGCCATCAGCCAGCATGCCCCTCCTTTGCCCACGGAGCCTGAGGCAACAAAGTGAAATTCACCTTGGCTCTCAGGACCCTGTACATTCTGGTCCCACCACTCCTTATTCCCTCTTCTCCCAGAACACTGACTAACTGGGCATGGGGGCCCAGGCTTTAATCCTAATGCTCAGGAGGCAGAGGCCAGTGGACTTTTATGAGTTCAAGGCCAGCCAAAGACACTTAGTGAGACCCTGTCTAAAAACAAAATTTCTCAGTCTCCCCTTTGGTCCAGCTAATCCCTGCTATGCTTAGGGCAAACTGATATTTCCCAGGGCTCAGGGTTTCACAGATTTTTACTGTGGTAACAAGTCACCTTCAGATCTCAGTACAGGCCAGATTCTGTCTCACTCAAACTCCTGGACTAATCAGATCCTTCTGCCTCAGCTTCTCAAGTTGCTGGTACCACAGGCATGTACCTCTGTGCCCAGCAGTATGGACTAGTCTGTTAACAAGGTGATGTGGGATGTCCTTCTGTATATGTGTTGCTTTTATTGGTTGATAAATAAAGCTGTTTTGGCCAATAGCTTAGCAGAATAAAGCAGGTGGGAAATATGAACAGAGATATATAGAGAGTAGGTGGGGTCAAGGAGATGTCATGTATCTGCCGAAGGAAAAAGATATCAGAACCTTACCAGTAAGCCACAGACTCTTGGCACTACACAGATTAATAGAAAGTGGTTAAGATATAAGAGCTAGCTAGGATCACACCTGAGCCATTAGCCAAACAATGTTGTAATTAATATAGTTTTTGTGTGATTATTTGGGATCAAAGTGAGAGGGCCCAGGTAACTGAGCAGTACCACTTCTGAGCTGGTGGTCCTAGATGCTATAGAGCAAGCTGAACAAACTAGAAGGAGTTAGCCAGCACTCTTCCGTGGTCTTTGCAGCAGTTACTGCTTCCAGGTTCCTCCCTTGAGCTCCTGGCCTAACTTCTCTGGATGACAGACTAAAAGCTTTTTTTTTTGGTTTTTTTCGAGACAGGGTTTCTCTAGCTCTGTGGACCAGGCTGGTCTCGAACTCACAGATATCCGCCTGCCTCTGCGTGCGCCACCATCGCCCGGCTCAGACTAAAAGCTTTATCATGAAATAACCCTTTCCTCACTAAGTTGCTTTTGGCTATGATGTTTTGTACTGGGAGGTTTTGTGTGTCAAATTGGCACAAGCTGGAGTCAACAGAGGAAGGAGCCTCAGCTGCAGAAATGCCTCCTTGAGATCCAGCTGTAAGGCGTTCTCGTTTAACGATCAATGGGGGAGGTGCCCATGGTGGGAGGTGCCATCCCTGCACTGCTGGTCCTGGGTTCTATAAGAAAGTGGGTTGAGCAAGCCATGGGAAGCAAGCCAGTAAGCAGTTTCCCTCCATGGTCTCTGCATCACGTCCTGCCTCCAGGATCCTGCCTCATTTGAGTTCCTGTCCTGACGTCCTTCATTGATGAACAGCAATGTTGAAGTTTAAGTCTAAAAAACCCTTCCTCCCCAAGTCGCTTTATGGTGATGATGTTTTGTTGCAGCAATAGAAATCTTAACTAAGACATGCTTTATCACAGCAACTGAAAGCTAATTAAAACAAGAAGTGGGTACCAGGAGTTAGGTATTGATGTGACAAACCTAACCACATTAAAAGTATGGCATTCTCAGATCTTTGCCAAGTGATGTTTCCCAAAAAGATCTTGGACCATCCCATCGTTCCAAAAGGACAGTATTATATAATAGTATTCTTTACTCTGTTATGATATTTGCATATCAAAATGTACTGCAAACAAAGAGGTTTAACTAAAGTATCTTTAAAAGTAGGAGTATTTGCCGGGGAGGCTGGGACATGTATTGGGCCCCTAGCATCACAGAAGCAGACATGGTGGTGCATACCTGTAATCTCAACAGTCTTAGAGGTAGAAACTGGAGGATCAAGAATTCAAGCCATTATCAGTTAATAGTGAGTTAGAGGCCAGCTGGGCTACATGAGACCAGATCTCAAAACAAACAGGGTGTGGGGCTGGAGAGATGGCTCAGTGGTTACAAGCACACTGTTCTTGCAGATAACCAGAGTTCGGTTTCCAGCACCCACATCAGGCAACTCACAACCACCTATAATTTTTTTTTCTGTAGACCAGGCTGGCCTTGAACTCAGATCCATCCACCTGCCTCAGCCTCCTATGTGCTGTGATTAAAGTTGTGTGCCCACTGCCTAAACACCAGCAATTCTAGTCCCAGGGGAACCAATGCCTCTTCTGGACTCTGTAGGTACTGCATGCACATGGTGTACATAGACATGCAGAGAAAACACTCATACGTATAAAATAAAAATAAATGTTAAAAAAAATCTTCTAAAACTCTCTAAGTAGTCCCTATTGTCTTCTGCTGTAGGAATTTAGCAGAGTCACTATCTGGGGTAGACATTAGAACAGTTTTCACTGTATCCAGGGTAAATGGTAGAGCACTCTGACTTTGAAGAATCACTGTGGAAAACTGATTGTTTTCCACAATTTGTAGAATTGTTTATCTGAAAAAGCATTGCAGCCTTCACCTGACTTTGGTCACAGGATGCCCCTGGTGCACCCAAGGCTCTTGGATTACTGTGTAGTGCAAATGAAAAAAGGCTAAAAGAGGGCATGAGACACTTTCCTTTAGAGAGACGAACAGATTAGGTAAGACCTTGGTATGAGGAAATTCTTTACCCAAAAACAACTTAGTGTAATAATCAATAAATACACCTTTGTATGGCTGCTCGGGGTTCAGTTCATCTGAGGCTGGGCCTTCCTGCTGCCACACAGGCCTTAACATCTCGTCTTGGAGGGACCTCTCTCTCTGACTGACCTATGCAACACAGAATACCCCCGCAAGTCTCCATCATCATTTTTGTCATATTTCTGCTTTTGGAGGAAGGTCCTGGGAATGGCACCCAGAATTTTGCTCTTACTAAAGAAACACTCCACCGCTGTGCTATGCATGTCCTGTCTCTATTATGGTTTCCTTAGTTGCGCTTTACTTGTTTCTGAGACAGGGTCTTGAGAGGTCCACATCAAACCTGCTCTGTAGCCAGGATGACCCTGACGATTCTCTTGCCTCTGCCTCCTGTGCTGGATCACAGGGTGCTCCACTCCTGGTTCATGTGGTCCTGGGGACAGAACCCAGAGCTCCAGGCATGCTAGGCAAACATCTGTTACTGAACCACATCCCCAGTTCATGGATTTTGAGCGAAAGTGTGATACAGTGTCAGTAATCCAAAAGGCTGTCCCTCTCTCAAGGGAGTCGCCTGCCCGTACTCTACTAGGCCCTCTTTTGCCCATGTGACCAGAGCCTCCATGTTCTAGTCACATTGGCTGCACTGAAATGATGAGCCTCACCGTTTTCCTCCAGAAGATTCCGTGACTCTTGATTAGACTGGGCCTCCACGGGCAGAAACCGGTGACTGAAGGGCTCCTGCGTGGCTCCGGGTGGTACCATCTTCTGAGAAAGCACTTCAGGACATGTGACAATCTAACAACCACAACTACAACCAATCAGCAAAATCATAGACGGGAATGGGAAAGAACCCGTTAGAGTCCGTTAGACTGTCGCCTGTCTGTCCCCTTGCCCAATATCGAACTTGTGTCTACAAGGAGCCAGGCTCTGATTAAATAGCAGGTTAACAAACATGGATTACTTCTACTAGGAAATGACTTCCATGCGACATAACCATATGCAAATACACAATTATGAACTCCATGTTAGATGGGAAAGAAACACAACTACAGGACAGAACAGACGAGACCCGCTTTAGCCGGAGAGGCTAGGGAAGGGTGTCATGCTGTAACACCTGCAAGATTAAAGGAGGGGCTGCAGAGATGACCCAGCGGTCAAGAGCACTGGCTTCTCTTCCAGAGGACCCAGGTTCAGTTCCCAGCACTTGGTGGCTCACAACCATCTGTATCTCCAGTTCCAGGGAATCCAGTGTCCTCTTCTGGCCTCTGAGGGTACCAACACACTTGTGCATACATGCACGTACACACACAAAAATTTTTAAATAATTATTTTTAAAGAGAAGGAAGCCAAAGGTAAAGGGGGAGAAGAAACCCAGGGACAGAGAGGGTTCTAAACTTTCTCTGATGAAAAATAGGGTATTTGATCCAACCCAGGAGCCCTAAGACGCCAAGAGGGGGGGTAAAGGTAAAGACAAGAGAAGAAAACAGAGGATGAAAAGGTCATTACGAGACTCAGGAAGCCACTGCTGGTCAGACTAAGATTTAAGTTAGTTTATGTCCCATATGCCTGCAATTCCAGCACTCAGGAGGCAGAAAACAGGAAGGGTGCAGCAAGGTCTTAGCTAAACCAGGCTACACCCTGCCTCAAAAAAGACTTAAACTAGGATTGGAGAGATGGATCAGTGGTTAGGAGCACAGGCTGCTCTTACAGAGGTCCTGAGTTCAATTCCCAGCAACCACATGGTGGCTCATAACCATCTATAGTGAGATCTGGTGCCCTCTTCTGATGTGTGTGTGTGTGTGTGTGTGTGTGCAAGCATGCAGGTTAAATAAATAAATAAATATTTTTTTTTTAAAAAAGACTTAAACTAACTGTAAATAGCGCATGCCTTTAATCCCAGCACTTGGGAGGCAGAGGCAGGCAGATTTCTATGAGTTTGAGGCCAGCCTGGTCTACAGAACAAGTTCCAGAACAGCCAGGACTGTTACACAGAGAAACCTTGTCTCGAAAAACCGAAAGAAAGCAAGAAAGAAAGGTAGGTTAAAAAAAAAAAAAGAATTAAGCTAGTTCATGTCCGGCGTGACACCAGCTTCTACTATCCTGCTCTCAGCCCTCAATCCAACCTAGGGTGTAAGTATATAATTATCCTTCTCCAAGGCACAACTTCCTCCTAGAAATTCTGGACGGTATTAAGATCAGCCACCCCCCTTCCCCCTGCTATCTGAGTCACAAGGTGAGCGAAAGCAGACCGAAAGTCTAGAACGGTCTGGAACTCTGGAGTACCCCCACCCTCAGAGTGCAAATGATGAGATCAGCACCTTCCACTTAGACACAGACACTCTGAGGAATGAGTGCGACCCTCAAGCAATCTTCGCTCTCTTCCAAACCCACAGGCTTCTGTTGTGTTTGTTTTTAGACAGGGCCTTCCTCCTGTCTCAGCTTCCCAAGTGCTAGGATTAAAGGAATGTCCCACCAAATTGAGCTCTAAGTTCATAAGGAGAAAATACTGAAAGGAAAAAGCAGAGGGAAGGAAATGCCAAAACTGTTTATACCTCAAATAGCTTTAAAGCAGGTCCAGAAACAGCCAATAGGATCAACAAACTAGAATACAAACATCAGAAACAAATGCCTCGAACAGGCAGAAATTTAACAAGCGATAAAGACAGCATTTTATTTCTGAGGCAGGGTCTCTTTCCCTATAATAATTTCGAGTGGCAAAAAAAAAAAAAAAAAGCAAATTTAAAAAAGGACTGAAGGGGCTGCAGAGACAGCTCAGAGGTTAAGGGCACTGACTGCTCTTCCAGAGGACCTGGGTTCAATTTCCAGCACCCATGTGTCTGTAACTCCGGTTCCAGGGACACCTTCATACCAAAGAACATAAAATGAAATGGATTCTTTTTAAAAATAAATAAATAAATAAGGACTGAGAAAAGGTTTTCATAAACTGCAGTCAAGAAAGTCTTCTAAAGCATGAATTCCAGAAACCAGGATGTAAGAATTACACTGGTTCATCTCTAAATACAACAGATTCCATGACAATAAACTGGAAAAATAGCATAGGCCAATCACATAGTAGGCGCAATGCCTATTGTTTCTAACAGGTAAGAAATGCACGTAAGAAACACAAGAATAATTTGCAAAAAGAAGAGGAGGAGGAGGAAAAAGAAGAAACACAATATTCTATAAAACTCATGGCACATGCGTTTAATTCCAGCACTTGTGAGGCAGAAACAGGTAGACCTTTGTCAGTTGGAGTCCACTTGGGTCTACACAGTCAAATTCAGAATACCCAAGGATACATAGTGAGACCATCTAAAGCAATAACAACAAAATCAGAATGTGATCGACGGAAGCACCAGAGGGCTAAGACAGCTTGGCAGCTCCTCAGCGCTCATTTCCCTCCTCACTGCACCTCTCCCACGCACCTGTTGCCGGCGCTCCTCTAGCTCTTTCTGGATACTCTCGATCACAGCCACGGCTTCCTCTCCGCTCTCGGGGTGATGTTCTCTCACCCAGGCCTGGAACTCTTCAGGCAGGATGGTGAGGAACTGCTCCAGCACTAGCAGCTCTAGGATCTGCTCCTTGGTGTGCAGTTCCGGCCTCAGCCACTCACAGCAGAGTACCCGGAGCTGGCTGAGAGCATCCCGTGGTCCCGTTGCCTCATGGTACTGGAAATGCTTGAAGCGTTGGTAAAAAGTCTCAAACATTGGCCGGTTGTATGCCTGCATCCAGGAGCAGTCCTCTTCTTCCACTTTCACTATGAGAAGATCAGCTTGCTCTTGCGAAGAAGTCTCAGCTGGAGGCTCTAAGTGTGTAACTTTCTTGGATTCTGTCATTATCATTCCAACTCAGAGTCTCTAGAGGCTGCCCGTTACACTGACCCAATTCGTTCTCTGCTCTTCTGAAGGGCACTTTTTGCAGTCAACAACCTTACTGGTACGTCGGGAATTATTGTTAGCCAAGAGAGGCGGCAAAGACGTCATCTATACTAAAGAAAACCACTCAATAAAGTCATTCACTTAAAGATACCGACTACAAGTCAGTTATCACTTTACCCACAAAATTACTAATAGTAACTACTTCCAGATTTTAAAAACGCAAATAAACGGCCACAAAAAGTGACGTCAAGCCCAACGTAAAACACAACTTTAGAAATGAGAAAGTACACATCTCATATTAATAACAGGACGAGATTATTCCAGACAGAGTCGTTTCTTCTCTCTATCATAAGCCAAACTTAAGTCGGAATAGGAGTGAAACCCATTAAAATGGTCATATCTGGTCCTGGCTTTCAAGCCATACGGGCTTGATAGGTGAACGGAAGACTTCATTAGTTCTAGGAGAAAGCACGGTCGTAGACAGAAATTTGGATCTGGATTCCTCAGACTAGCTCCTGACCCCTGAGACAGAGACCGGACGGGTCAAGGTTAGGGACAGGACCCCAGTGTGGACACAATGCCCTACTCGCTCCTCTCCAGTCCCTAAATCCCGGGGACCTAAAGAGCAAACTCCCCGCAGCCCCGGCTTGGAAGATGGAGTTCTCACAAGCCAAGGGAGAACCGCGTCCGACACTTTCCAACAGTTCCTCGCCGGAAGTAACCAAGTGCGAGCTTTAGCCATAAATCCCACCCCCAAGAGCGCTTCCGCAGCCGCTCTAGGAATCCCGGAGGTCCTCGCAGCGCAGCGGGAGGGAGGAGCTACTTCTGCACCCGCCCCCTTACCGGAGCTGACCAATCAGCAAGCTTCAAGTAAGAGGTTACTAGAGCCAAAGGAAAATAGCTCTATTATCAATTTTCCAACCTAAAAACCAGTATGTGCTCCGCTCCTCCCCTGCCACTAAGGTTAGAGGGCGGGACTCAGGGGCGGGCCCCTACTCTTTCGCGTCTGATTGGTCGAGAACAACTCCCCCCCACACACACTCAGGAACTAAAGTTGATCTGCACCTTGTTGCCAGCTCATAACCCTTTGAATTCTATCACTGCCTTGTGATAGAATTTTTCCAAACTTACCCAAAGAGATTCTTTACTGCCCTATAATGGCGCGATCCAGAGGCCCACAGGACTACAGCTTCCAAGAAGCCGCGCGAGAGCAACACAGTCTAGCCAATAAGGCTGCCGCTCACCTCGGTCTCCAGGGTTTATTAAGATGATGCACCAGGTGGACTGGGCGGCTCACTGACATTTATCTTATTGCCAAGCCTGATGACAAGAGATCCATCCCTGGGTTCGAGATATCCAAATGTTATGGAAGTCAAAGTTGCCGTGTATGGCCCCTCACCCCGCGCAGGCATCAGGAAAATTAATTATTTTTTAAATGTTAAAAGGCAACAGGAACCAGGTGGTTGCGGCTCACGCCTTTAATTCCGGGAGGCAGAGGCAGGCGGAACTCTGTGAGTTCGAGGCCAGCATGGTCTACAAGGGCTAGTTCTAGGGCAGGCACCAAAGCTGCAGAGAAACGCTGTCTCGAAAAACAAAAACAAACAAAAACAAACAAAACAAGGCAACAAGGGCTCTGACATTCCGAAGGTAGGGGGTATTTCAATTGATCACACTTCGCTCTCTTCTCACTACTAAACTTGACCAGACTTTTTAAAAAGTAATAATAACAACAGATGCAGCAAAGTTAAGATTATGCCAGAAGCCTGGCGGCCTGCTGTCTGGGGGAGAAACCACACTTTAGAAAAAGGGGAGTTTTGTTAAATCCTGTTACCCTTAACCGTAAATGCCTATCTTTATTTAATAATCTATTCCTCTCGTGTTTTGATCGCTTTCCACCTACAGGCAATATCAAAGTTCCTGTAGTCACTCCTAGGGTCACACTGAAACAGACTACTGTGGAATTGCAACCCTCTACAAATAGCTGAAGACCTAGAGAATAAAGACCCCAATGCTGTAGAACGGCAGGGCGGGCATCTCTCAGGGAGGGTGAGATTCTGAAATCCCTGAGTTCCATCTCCAGCACCAAGGAGATGGGGAGTAAAATAAAGAGTTATAAGGCACTGGAGAGATGGCTCAGTGGTTAGGAACATTTGCTGCTCTTGTCAAATGATCTGGATCCGATTCCCCAAACTCTCATGGCTAACAACCTTTGGTAACTCTGATTCCAGGGTATCTGATGCCCTCTTCTGGCCTCTGTTTGCAGTGCACACAATGTGTATTAGAGATGTTACTCCCACTCACTCCATCCTTCCACACCCGTCACCCTCATAGTGAGATACTCTCACTATCTAATCTAGCTCTGGCTGTCCTGGAACTCACTATGTACGCTAGGCTGAACCTGAATCCACAAAGATCCGCCTGCCTCTGCCTCCGGAGTTCTGGGATTACAGGCTTGTACCACCGCTGCCCGGTTAAGTCTGCACCACGTTGTGGGTGCCGAGAATTGAGCCCAGATCTTCTATAAGAGCACCTAAGTATCCTTAACCTCTGAGCCATCTCTCTAGCCCCTTTTTATTTGTTTGTCGTTTTGAAACAGGATTTCTCTGTGTAGGCCCCGTTTTACTTTTTTAATTTTGTTTCTTTGGTTTCTGTTTTGTTTTGTTCTGCTTTTTTGATTTTGTTTTTGGTGTGAGATAGGATTTCTCTGTGTAGCCCTGGCTGTCCTGGAGCTCTCTCTGTAGACCAGGCTGGCCTCGAACTCATATAATCTCCTGCCTCTACCTCCAAGTGCTACAGGCGTGCGCTGCCACCACCATCTGGCTCCGCCCCCCGCCCACCACTCATCAACTTTTTTTTTTTTTTTAGAACGTGGCCTCTGGCAGCTCCAGTGGCAGAACCACCGAGATGCATCTTAGTCCTCCAGGGTGCTTAGAGAGACCTTGGGAATACAAGTCCTGTCCCCAGCGCGGGGGGGGGGGGGGGGATAACGACGCACTTCCGGCTGGGTTTGTTTTTCTCACTTTGACCAGCTAAAGTGAGACCTAAAGGCCATGGTAGCTGGTGTGTTGTGTCGGTAGGGGCTATTTCGGGGCCTCCTTTGTGGAAGAGAGTGGCAGTACGCTACGTTTTGCCCTTCTAGAAACAAGTTCGAGCTGAACGGTCCAGAGACTCCAATGGATACGGATGCCGGGGTCTCCGCGCCACCGCTCGGTGCCGAGCTTTGTACCGTGAAAGTGGAGGAGGACTCACTCGGAAGTCAGAAGCCCTCCGGACTCGGGGATTGTCAGAACCCCGAAACTTCTCGAAAACTGTTCAGGCAGTTGCGCTACCAGGAAGTGGCGGGCCCCGAAGAGGCGCTGAGCCGACTCTGGGAGCTCTGTCGGCGGTGGCTGAGGCCGGAGCTGCGCTCCAAGGAGCAGATCCTGGAGCTGCTGGTGCTGGAGCAGTTCCTCACCATCCTGCCGCAGGAGCTCCAGGCTTGCGTGCGGGACCTCTGCCCTGAGAGCGGGGAGGAGGCTGCGGTGTTGGTGCGGACTCTACAAAGAGCACTGGACCGGGCCTCCCCACAGGTGAGATGCGGGTGGGCTCTGGGTGACTTCAGAGAGATGGTTTCAGCGTTTAAGATCCCGTGGGGCTCTTCCAGAGGATGAGTTCAGTTACCAGCACCCACGTAGGGTGGCTCATCACCTCCTGCAACTCTAGTTTCAGGGGCTCTAAATACCTTCTTCTGGGCATTTTTAATCGCGCATGTGAGTGACGTCTATAGGCTCATATATCAGAATATGTTAAGTCCGTGGGAAGACACCTTGGAAAAATAGAGTAATACTCCTGACACTACTGATTTTGAAAATTTTTCTTATTTTTTTTTTTAAGTCACTGTGTAGCCCTAACTGACTTGAACTCATTGTATAGACCAGACTGGCCTTGAACTCACAGAGATCCACTTGACTCCACCTCCAAAGTTCAGGGACTAAAAGTGTGCACCGCGATGCCTAGCTCGTTGAAACTAAGCTTGCTCGTGCCTTTTGGGAAACAATTCACAATCATGGTCAGTGTGAAAATACTTTTTTTTTTTTTTTTGAGACAGGGTTTCTCTGTGGCTTTGGAGCCTGTCCTGGAACTAGCTCTGTAGACCAGGCTGGTCTCGAACTCACAGAGATTCGCCTGCCTCTGCCTCCCGAGTGCTGGGATTAAAGGCGTGCGCCACCACCGCCCGGCTTTTTTTTTTTTTTTTTTTTTTTTTTTTTTTTTTTTTTTTTTTTTTTTTTTTTTTTTTTTTTTTTTTTTTGCGTTTTTGTTTACGTGACTGTGCATGTGAATGTGTGCCACGTGTATGTGTGTGCCTAAGGAACACAGAAGAAGGCGTTAGGTCCCAGGAACCGGGGACACAGACTATTGTGAGCTGCCCAGTGTAGGTGCTGGCAGCTGGACGCAGGTCAGTCGCCCTGGGAGAACAGGAAGCACTTAACTTCTGATACACCCTTAAAATTTAACCCAATCCCTCAAAAGTTAATTCTGAAACATTTTCCAGGTCCTTCCCCCCAGAATGTCATTTCATGATTTAGCCATTTCAGAGACAATTTTTCCTCCTCGGCACTGTAGACATTTGGGCTAATATTTCATTGTCGGTGACAAACACTCAAGCACTTCAGAGTTTTGGGATCTCAGATTAGGAAAATGCTGGATCACTAATTTCATCCCTGGCTGAACTGAGATATTCTGACATTGTGAACAGTTTTGCTCACAAGCATTTTAGATAGAGGGAACTTAGCCTATATAAGCATACATATGTTAGCCTTGTACATGTATACATAGTGTGTTTAGTTTGTCGCTATGATAGATACCTAAAACAACGTAAGGAACACAAGATCCATTGGGATTTAATAGTTCAGCAATTAAGAGTCCATGGTCGGTGGAATTCATTGTTTCTGGGCTTGGGGTATGGCAGAGCACCATTACAGAAGAGTATGCTGGAGCAGGTATGTTTGCTTCCTGGCAGCAAGGAAGCAGAATAGGGATGCAGAAAAGGGTCAGGATTAAGGAGCTGGAGCTCCCAGGGACACGCCCCTGCATCTGCATCCTCCGCCTAAGATGTCTCTTCTCTCCCCACCTGAAAATTGAGAAATAATCTCATGTAGCCCAGGCTGGCCTGAACAACTCCCTATGTAGAGAAAAGATGACCCTAACATTTCTGATCCCCCTGCCTCCACCTATGGAGTTCAAGGATTACAAGTGTTTGCGGCCACAGCTGGCTTCTGTGATGTTGGGGTTGGACTCAGCTCTGTGCATGCCAGCCCAGTGCTCTTGAGCTGAGCCACATCCCAACCCCAGTGTCCATTTTGTAAGTCACAGTGATAGAACTAAAATATTTTGCTTGTGTCTTCCCCAAATTGTCATAGATGATCCACAGAAAATCTTTTCATGATTATAGGAGGTTGTGACCCTCTAGTGAGAATGGTGACTCTTCTCACTGCTGTGACAGGATCAGCTTGAGGGGAGGGCTTATTTGGGTCAAGATTTAAGAAGATCACAGTCTGAAGTCAGGAAGGTGTAGCAGAGGATGTAGCTGGTAACCAGGCTTCACAGTTAGCAGGCAGAAAGAGGTGAGTGCTGATTTCCCTCACCACCTTTCCCTTCATTCAGTCCAGTGCATCAGCTTATCGAGGGTTGGCCTTCCCCCTACAGTCAAATCTGTCTGGAAATGCTGCACAGGTAAGTCCAGAAGCTTAGTTTTGGGTGATTCTAAGTCCAGTCAGACTGACAATGAAGGTGATCAGTAGCAGGTCCCTTTGGTACTCCATATCTGTGGCTGTCCCTTGACTCTCACACCAGCTCCTTACTCCCTAAAGACTGGCTTTCCCTTAGAGTAATGAAGTGTTCGCAGTGACAGCAAGTGCTGAACGGAGATCTTGTGCTGTTTGTTCTAGGGCCTTGTGACTTACAAGGATATGGCCGAATCTCTGACCTGGGAAGAGTGGGAGCAGCTGGCCGCAGCTCGGAAGAGTTTCTGCAGAGAGAGCACGAAGGATCGTGACGGCACAGTTCTGCCTGGTACGTGCTGTTCTCTGACGAGTTGTACTCTGTGTGGCTTGTAGGGTGGCTGCTCTAGTTTCCTACCAGTTGCTGTGAGAAAACATTCTGACCAGAAGCATCTTAGCGGGAGAAAGGGCTTATTTGACTCTCAAGACCAGGTCACAGTTCATCATTGAGACAAGTCAAGGCAGGATCTGAAAGCAGACCCCCTTGCTAGTTCCCATAGCCTTGCCTCTGACTGAGGAACTCATTTCACAGCCAGTGCAGAATAGCAAGAATGGGGAAGGATGCTGTTTGCAGCTGGCTTAGCTTCAGCTAGCATTTTTTTTGTTGTTGTTGTTGATTTTGATTTTTTTTTTTTTTTGAGACGGGGGTTTGTCTGTAGCATTGGAGCCTGTCCTGGAATTCATAGAGATCCACCTATCTCTGCCTCCCAAGTGCTGAGATTAAAGGTGTGTGCCATCACTGCCCGCCCGCCCTCCCTCCCCCCCCCCCTCCCTCCTTCCCTTCTTCCCTCCTTCCCTCCCTCCCTCCTTCCCTCCCTCCCTCCCTCCTCCCTCCTTCCTTCCTGCCTTCTCTTCCTTCCTTCCTTCCTTCCTTCCTTCCTTTCTTCCTTTCTTTCTTTCTTTCTTTCTTTCTTTCTTTTTCTTTTTTTTTTTTTTGCAGCAGTTTTCTTTTAAATCTTTTATTTATGTGTTGTGTGTGTAGATCAGAAAACAACTTGTAGGAGCAAGTTTTCTCCTTCCACCACGTGTATACTGAGGATCATTAAACCAGCTGTCAGGTGCTTCTACCCACTGAGTTGTCTCATCATCCCCCTCAAGTAGCTTTTTTACATAGTTCAAAACCATCTTGCTTAGGAATGGTACCTCCCACAGTGGGTTGGCCCTGCTACATCAATTAAGAATCAAAGTAGTTCCCCACAGAGAGCCCACAGGCCAATCTGATTTGCCTGGCTCCTCAATTGAGGCTTTTCTTTCATAGGCTGTTGTCAGGATTAACAGCTGAGTTTTCTATGATCTGTGAGCTAGTTTCCATTCACAAACATGGGTTAAGAGCCTTAGGATTTCTTTTGTGACCTACACAAGGTCTGTCTGTATTTTATTTTGTGTACATGTGTTTGTTTTTAATATTTTGTTGTTGGGTTTTTGAGACAGGGTCTCACTATGTAACTCTGGTTGGCTTGGAACTCACTACATAGACCAGACTAGTTGAACTCACAGAGATCTTCCTGCTTTGCCTTCCAAGTGCTAGACTTATGAATGTGTGCCACTCCACCTGGCCTCTAATAATTTTGTACTTGTTCTTTGATAATTTCAAACATACATCTAATGTACTTTGATCAGAATCGACTTCCATTCCTGTCTTACCCGTTCCCACTTGCTCTGAAACCCTTCTTCCCAGAATGCCCCATTCCTATCCTTCTACTCTCTCTGGAACCCTTGTTTTTCCCAGCATGCTCTCTTACATTCCTCTCTTCTTCCCACTCTCTTTGGAAACCTTCCCAAAGTGCCCCCTCCTACATTCAAGTTTGTGTTGTTTATTTTAATTTGGGTTTTCATGTGCATGAGTGTGGGTTTATTTATTAGAGCATGGTCAACTTAACAATGGCTACATTCATGCTGGGTGGTGGTGGCACACGCCTTTAATCCCAGCACTCGGGAGGCAGAAGCAGGTGGATCTCTGTGAGTTTGAGGCCAGGCTGGTCTACAAGAGCTAGTTCCAGGACAGGCTCCAAAGCTACACAGAGAAACCCTGTCTTGAAAAGCCACAAAAAAACAACAACAACAACAACAAAAAACCCAAAACAAAACAAACAAAAAAACAGTGGCTACATTCTTGAAGAAAAATCACTCTGGCTTCCTCCGGCAGTGATCAGTTACCAGTAGCTCCTCAGCTACAGGTGGGATCCTGATGTACCCTCCCCATTTTTATGGGTTTGTGAGAGCAAACATGTGTATAGTATGGGTGTATGTGTAGAGGCCAGAAGACATGTTTTTTTTTGTTTTTTGTTTTTTTTTTTTTGAGACAGATTTTCTCTGTAGCTTTTGGAGCTTGTCCTGGAAACTAGCTCTTGTAGACCAGGCTGGTCTCGAACTCACAGAGATCCGCCTGCCTCTGTCTCCTGAGTGCTGGGATTAAAGGCCTATGCCACTACTACCCGGCCAGAGGACAATTTTTATAGACCTTCAACCAATCCTAGATAGCCTTCCCACTGAGACCTTGCCTTCAAGACTTCGGAATTACCACCGATGTTCATTGTAGCTCGCCATGGAGAGCCTTTCTTGCGTTAATCCAGCCCACATTCATGGAATAAAGGCAATACAGCCTGCCCTGACATTTTTTTGCAGTTCTACCTCTCTTAGTATACAGTCTGTAGCAATGCAGTGGGACCAGGGAAGAATGGCTTGGTAGCTGTAGGCTCAAGTACAAAAGGAAGGCAGGCTATTTGCCTGTACAGCCAGAGTGGATGCCCCTGATGGGCTCATTCAGTTTCACCCAAGGAGGTGGGGAGGACCACTTCGAAGTGGGTTAGAGGTGCTTCCTTTACCAGCATTTCCATTTCCCTGGGACACGGGCGAGAGATAACAGCAGCTTATGTTTGCATGTTTCAGGCTTGGAAACCAGAGCTCCAAGCACAGACTGGATTCCAAAGCAAGAGACTTTAAAGGAAGCAGAATCACAGGCACGGGTGCAAGAAGTGTCCCAGGGAAAGGTCCCACTGTTTACCAAGTGTGCTGATGCCGTTGAGGACTGGGAAGAGAAGCTGCCGAAAGACTCTGTGTTGTTGCATCTCCAGAGTTCTCCTGAAGAGCAAGGACGCACTGCCATCCCTCCTCTCATAGGTGTGTCCGAGAGTCACGAATTTGGGAACAGTGCCAGCCTTGGCCTTGGTCAGCACATCCAGGCAGCAAAGAGTCTCAGTGCCACTGATGCACATGGGAGTGACCACAAACAAGGCTTCCATGTGAAATTCTGTACAGCAAAACCTCACAACTCTGTTGACAGTAGTTTGGGGCTCCGTGAGGACAAACCCTACAAATGTGACAGCTGTGAGAAGAGGTTCAGACAGTGCTCAGATCTTTTTAAACACCAGAGGACCCACACAGGTGAGAAGCCCTATCAGTGCCAAACATGTGGGAAAAGCTTCAGCCAGAGTGCTGCCCTTGTTAAACACCAGCGGACACACACAGGTGAGAAGCCGTATGCCTGCCCAGAGTGCGGGGAATGCTTCAGGCAGAGCTCGCACCTCACTCGGCATCAGAGGACCCATGCCAGCGAGAAGTACTGTAAATGTGAGGAGTGCGGGGAGGTCTTTCATATCTCTAGCCTTTGTAGACATCAGAGACTCCATAAAGGGGAGAGACCATACAAGTGTGAGGACTGCCAGAAGAGCTTCAAACAGCGCTCAGACCTCTTTAAGCATCAGAGAATCCACACGGGAGAGAAGCCCTATGTGTGTTTTGTCTGTGGGAAAAGCTTCACTCAGAGTGCAACCCTCATTAAACACCAGAGAACTCACACGGGAGAAAAACCTTATAAATGTCTTCAGTGTGGTGAAAGATTTAGACAGAGTACACACCTTGTCCGACACCAGAGAATCCACCGAACCACAGTCTCCTAGCTTTCATGTGTCTCTGTGTGACTTGTGGGTGTTTTTGCTGTTGCTGCTATTTTTGAGAAAAGGTCTCACTGTGCAGCCCTGGCTGACCTGGAAGAAGCTATATAAAGCAGGCTGGCCTCAAATGTGGAGACCAACTTGCCTCCACCTCCATCTCCTGAGTGCTGAGATTAAAGGTGTGCACCCACCATGCCCAGCATGGCTTGTGTTTTGGTTCTTCAGTTGTTTCTTTGTCCGAAAACTACATTCTTTGTCATTTGGAACATTTTAGTCACTCTTAGATTTCCTTAGGCCTCACACACAAGAGACATTGGTCTGATTTGAAAAATTTTGTCTGTTTTTTGAGATAGGATTTTATTGTATAGCTCTGGCCGTCCTGGAACACACTATGAGGACCTGGCTGGCCTAGAACTCAAAGATTCTCCTCCCTCTACCTTCCAAGTGCTGGGATTAAAGACATGTACCACCAAGCTTGGCTTGGTTTGAACCTTAATACATGCTTTTTTAAAATATTTTTTTATTATGTATACAATAGTCTGTCTGTGTGTATGCCTGCAGGCCAGAAGAGGGTGCCAGACCTCATTACAGATGGTTGTGAGCCACCATGTGGTTGCTGGAAATTGAACTCAGGACCTTTGGAAGAGCAGGCAGTGCTCTTAACCACTGAGACATCGCTCAAGTCCCCCTTAATACATGCTTTTACAGACAAAAAAATAAGCAGAGAAACATCATAAACCGGGCGGTGGTGGCACAAGCTTTTAATGCCAGCACTCAGGAGGCAGAGGCAGGTGGATATCTGAGTTTGAGGCCAGCCTGGTTTACAAAAAAGAACCCACTACCCTACTCTAAATACAGGCAGACTCAAAAGTTTGGTGGTACACACCTATAATGCCAGCACTTGGGAAAGTTGACACAAGAGGTGTTAGGTTGGTGTTGATCTTTGGCCCAAGATGGAGTCACTTAAGACACCAAGATAGATGACCGTTGTGGGATTCAGCCTCTTCGGTAACTGAACAGTCTATAGTTTTCAGAAGTCTGCTGACTCCTTGTCTCAGTAGAAACAGCCTCGTGCTATCCTAACAACCCCCCAGTAAGTCTTGCTTAGTGCAGTACATTTTGCCTGGAACAGTTCTTTTTTCCCTAATGGTTTCCCCACCAAACTCCAAAAGGCAGTCCAAATATCCAGAAAAGAACTCAACCTGGACAATAGAATTTCTGGCAGTTAGATAAAGCAGCATTCATAAGGAACCCGTGAAGCCCGTTTCCCTCTGCTAAAAGGAGTCACTTCCCTTATCTCTGGCAAAAGAGAAGTCTGGTCACCTATGATGTCTATCAACATGCCAAAGTGCATGCTGGCCTCCAGGCTCCCTCAGAATCACAAGTACTTGTCACACATTTCAAAGTCCGTGCTATAGCATCCTGACTCTTTTTCACCTTCTCTCTACTAAACTCCCTTCAGTTCCCTGGCTTCCCTTCCCCCAGCTATTTATTCGTTGTTTATAATAACGACGAATTCTCCATGTGTTCTCTCTAGCCTCTGTTCCTGTTTCTCTCTCTTTCTGAAACTGGGTTTCTCTATGTAAGCCCTGGCTGTCCCCACTCTGTAGATCAGGCTGGCCTTGGACTCAGAGATCCGCCTCTGCCTCCCGAGGAATTAAAAGAGTGCGCAACCAGAGTCTGGCGTCATTGTTCTCTCTAGTTTCTATCCCCCACCATTCCCCTCTGTCTCACAAAGAGCCCTGGCCATGTTCAGTCTATTTCTCTCTCCACTCTAGACTCTTTAAATGCCTCTGGCTGTTCCCTCTTTCTCATATCTACAATAATAAAAGCCTTCCCCCTATAGGGGCTGGGAAGATGGCTCAGTGGTTAAGAGCACTTGCTGCTCTTCCAGAGGACCCAGGTATGATTCCCACCACCTACATAAGAGCTCACAATTCCAGTTCCACGGGATCCAGTGCCTTCTTTCGACCTCAGTAGCTCTGCATGCATGTGGTATACAGACATACATGCAAGCAATACCCATACACATAAAAAAACAATTTAAAAACATCTTTAATCATACCATGGAGCAGTCGTGTCCGTTTATACAGGCAGTGCACACCTGTAATCCTGACGCTTGAGATGCTGAGGAACTGTATGGAAGAAAGTTTGAGGCCAGCCTAGAAAACATAACTGATTTCAAGGCCAGACTGACTGTTATTTCATACAGTTTTGCTGTATCCAAGGCTGTTAAAAGTTGGGAATTATTGGTAAGATAATTGCCTGTGGCTATATGGTAGCCTTGACCTCGGCTCCAACACTTGAACCTGAACTTCTGGTCAGTCTGCAATCTTCATGGAAACCCTTTAACCATCTTGAGTAGAACTGCAGAGCAGTTTAGGGTTCAAGACCAGTGAATAGCAGGTAAAAGGAATTAGGGAGGGCAAGAAATGTACCGGCCTTCAAGACTTCTCTTCCTTTTTTTTTTTTTCCATTTTGGCGTGGAATGAAACCAGAGCCTTGCGCTCGGGATTGAGCCACAGCCCTAACCCTTACACCACTCATTTCTCATAATAGCTCCAAAAGCAGGGGACAAAAAGCCAGAATGTCCCCTTTCCCTTTTGTCCTTTTTTTCTTCCGTTTGATCCCAAGATGCAGGGTCCGCGGGAATTTTATTCTCCAAGAACTGCTGGCCCCTTCTATGCACCCTCGCGTCCTACATTCTACCCAACGGGTGACCTACTTCCGGTGAGCCCGTGCTCCCAGCAGCCCTCGCGCAAGCCTGGGCTTTGCTGACACCGGGACTGCAAGATGGCGTCGCTCGGTGAGTCCTCTGACTCTTGCCAGGCCGCGGGGTTAGAAGCCCGAGTTGGGCGCAGGATCCAGGGCCACAGTGGGGTGAGAAGGAACTACGGGGCCACTTGCCCTGCTCCCGGGGACGTCTCCGAGGCCTCCCCTGGGGCGCTGGACATTTGCTCTGAGGTCCTGCGTTGCCGGCCCTCCTCTGTGCACTCTGGCGGATTACCGCCGTGCACCGCCTGGCGTGGCTGTGGAAGATCGAGGCAGACCGGAGAAGCCTCTCCGGGCCTGCACAGCCGCTGCCGGGAACCGTTTGCTTGCCCCCCCCTCCCCTGAGGACTAAGCTCCCCTGAGGACTACACTGACGGAGGGGGGGGGGCACTTGAACTTTTACGCACCGCAGCGCCGGGCCTTCCCAGAGCTGAGGTTCAAATTAAGGTTCAGCCCCAGCACTTGCCTGGGATGATTCCCGACGCCGCAGTGAGATTCGTAACACTATTGAACACGCCTACTGAAGTCGAAGTGACCTGTTCAAGGTCATAAATCCTGAGAGCCCAGTTGGGATTCAGACCTAGGTTGGCAGGGCCTCTTGGTAAATGAGATTAATTCCCAGAGATGTCCTTGTGACAGGCAAGCGGTCGTTCCCTTAACACGCGCGCGTGTAAATCTCATTCATTGTGCACTGATGGGATTACATATCATATGGTCAAGGGAGTGATGGCGCTTGCGTGCATGACGGAGGACAACTTTGAGGAGTGGCATCTCTTCTCCCTCATGGGATGAAACTCCAGGTTGTCTACCCACCTCCTTTTGAGACCGGGTTTCTCCGTGTAGCCTAGGTTGGTCCTGATCTTGCAGCCTCTGTGTCTGAGTGCTAGCATTACAGGCCTCTGCCACCATACTTGGCTTGTTTCTGTGTTCTTTATCTCGGCCTGGGAAAATGAAGTGGTGGGGTGTCTGAAATGGAGTGTGAAGAAGCTGGGCTTTTTTTTTTTTTTTTTTTCTTTCGAGACAGGGTTTCTCTGTGTATCCCTGGCTGTCCTGGAACTAGCTCTTGTAGACCAGGCTGGCATCGAACCCACAGAGATCTGCCTGCCTCTGCCTCCCGAGTGCTGGGATTAAAGGCGTGCGCCACCACTGCCCGGCTAGCTGGGCTTTAAAAATTTTTTTTTGTTTTGTTTTTGGGCTTTTCAAGACAGGGTTTCTTTGTATAGTCCTGGCTATCATGGAACTCCCTATGTAGATGTGGACCAGGCTGACCTCTATCTCAGAGATCTGCCTGCCTCTGCCTCCCGAGCCCTGGGATCAACAGTGTACGCCACCACCACCTGAGGCTTTAGAGGGGGCATTTTATCTGTAAAATGCCAGGAGAGACGATTAGTGCACACTGTTTTCAGAAGAGACAGTGTGAAGAGCGTCGACGACACTGCTCAAGAGCTGGAAGAAGGATGAGTCACCAAGTTGAGGCCAGCCTGGGCTACATAAGTAGACCCCCACCAAAAAAAAAGTTGAAAAAAAAAAAAAAGACAAGTTCTCTTTAGCCCTATTTGTCTTGAAACTTACTGTACAGACCAGGCTGGCTTTGAACTCACAGAAATCGCCCTGCTTGCTGCCTCCTGAGTGCTGGGGTTAAAAGGCGTGTGCCACCATGCCTATCTTGAAGTTTCCAATCTTTTTTTTTTTAAAAATATCTATTTATTATGTATACGATATATGCCTGCAGGCCAGAAGGGGGCACCAGACCTCAGTACAGATGGTTGTGAGCCACCATGTGGTTGCTGGGAATTGAACTCAGGACCTTTGGAAGAGCAGGCAATGCTCTTAACCGCTGAGCCATCTCTCCAGCCCCGAAGTTTTCAATCTTATTTAAGTAGACAGTGTGAAGAGCCCTTTGGACTAAGGCCTAAGCAGTTGGGTACACTTAGCTAGCTGGAAGTGGTAATGCACAACTGTTGTGCTAGCTCTTTGGAAGCTGAAGCAGGGGAATTGCTGAGTTCAAGGCCAGCCAGTACTACATAGCAATACCCTGTTTCAAGGTGCCTCCCCCCACAAAAAATTAATTCAAGAAAGATATCTGGGGTGGGTAGTAGAGCTTAGTTGGTAAAGTGCCTGCTCATCGTGCACAGAGTCCTGGGTTCCACCCCCAGCACCACATAAAATCTGTAGTTCCAGCACTTGGAAGGTGGCACACTGCAGCTAGTTTAGTTCTAGCCTGGGCTACATAAGACTGTCTCAAAAAAAGAACAGAAGGAAAGAAGGAAAGAAAAATAATTAAAATCAGGGCCTGTGGCACATGAGTGTGTGTGTGTGCGCACACGTGAGCCCACACACAGAAGAGCCATAAGGATACTATAAGGGTCAGAAAACAACTTTGCAGGTTTTGCACTGCTGCTCATGCCCTCAGGAGGCCTGGCTGGCAGACCTCTGAGTTCAAGGTCAGTCTAATCTGCCCGTCAAGTTCCTGGACTGAGTGGGCTGTGGAGAGACCCTGTCTCGTCTCTAGAAACAAAGATTAGTGGAACAAAATGACTGGCCCACAATCCGGGACTATGTTGGTGTGAGCTGGACATCTGGTTTTCCTCTGGGGCATTTGAATAAGATCAGTTCACATAACCTAACCTATTCACTGTACTCTGGTGAAGGAATTAGAGTTTGTGACTCCTAAGTATTGATTTTTTTTTTTTTAAAGTGTATCAGTAGCACATAAGATTTGGGAGTGGGGGTGTTTGGGCTGGAAGGATGTCTCCATGGTTAAGAGCACGTGTTGCTCTTAAAGGTGACCAGATTTTGGTTCCCAGTTCCCACATGGTGGTTCATCTCTAACTCCAGTTCCAGGGCATCTGATGCCTTCTTACCTGTTTGGATAGAAGGCATGAGTATGGTGTACATTCATGCATGCAGGCAAAATACTCATGTACATATAATAAAAATAAGTATTTGGTGCCCGGGGGTGGTAGTGCACACCTTTAATCTCAGCACTTGGGAGGCAGGCAGGTGGATCACTGTGAGTTTGAGGTTAACCTGGTCTACAGAGTGAGTTCTGGGACAGCCAAGGCTGTTACACAGAGAAATCCTGTCTTGAAAAACAAAAAAACAAAAACAAAAAAGGTATTCTGTAAAATCCCCTTAAATGGAGTTACAGACAGTTGTGAGCCTTGTGGGTGCTGGGAATTGAACCTCCTGTATCCTCTGGAAGAGCAGCCAATGTCCTTAACCACTTAACCATCTCTCCAACTTCATAAAAATAAATCTTATTTTTATGTATTTATTTTTGAGACAGGGTGTTTGTATATAGCCCTGTCTGTCCTGGAACTCACTAGGTAGACCAGTCTGACCTTGAACTCATAAAGATCTCTGCCTGTGCGTCTCCAGAGTGCTAGGATGATAAAAGGCATGCACTATCATGCTCAGCCTTTTCTTTTCTTTTGTTTTTTTTGAGACAGAGTGTAGCTTTGGCGACTGTCCTGGAACTAGCTCTTGTAGACCAGGCTGACTGCGAACTCACAGAGATCCACCTGCCTCTGCCCATGCTCAGCTTTTTAAAATTAATTTTGTTGATGGGTGGTGGTGGTACACAACTTTAATCCCAGCACTTGAAAGGCAGAGAGAGTTCAGGACAGGCTCCAAAGCTCTGTCTCCCAAAACTAAAAAAAAAAAAAAAATTACTATTGGCCAGGTGGTGGTGGGGCATACCTTTTATCCCAGCACTCGGGAGGCAGAGACAGGTGGATCTCTGTGAGTTCGAGGCCAGCCTGGTCTATAGAGCACTTTCCAGGACAGAGTTTAAAACTACAGGCAAACCCTATCTCAACACCCCCCCAAATAATTATTTTTGTTAACAATATTTTGTTTGCGCAAGCGTATGTATGCTAGAGCATGCATGTGGAAGTCAGAACA